ATTACCAAGTTCCTATGTAAATGTTCCTACGTTTTCCGTTTTGTTGTTCGGTACAATCATTCAACCTGCTGTCAGGCAGAAATCCCCAGTAATTAGCAATAACAAATAAGCCGCCATCTTCGATCGCTCCACGTCTCTTATTTGCATATTGTCCAGCAAAAGTCTTTGCACACAGGGTAGGGTTAGAGTGAGGGTTATTTCCGAAAGAAAAAGCGTTAGAATTTTTCCAATATCTCGATGTTAGTTCTAATTCAGGGCCTCCTTTCTTAGGTAAAGCGATAAAATGCTACATACTAACAAGGTCTTTGTGGCTTAAAATTCAAACAAAGAAAAGTAACTCTGTTCAAAGTTCTGAAATCCCGACCCTCACACCCATGTAAAATATGTCGTAACGCACCGGTCTCGGATAAACATCTTCAGTCAAAATGGATGCCTTTCAAACGTCTTCAAAATGGAAACCCGAAAGTCACACGTGGAATAAGGCTTTAGCAGTTACCACTGGCTTAATCAAACGACACAAATAACACCGATAGAATGACACATCCAGTAATACATATATGTGACTTGAGACAGTAATTGTTCTTCTTCAAAGTCGGATATGAGTACTGACAAGAAATGCAGGGAAAGAATCAGTTTGCAAGATTCAGGATACTACAAACTGAAGTAGGTGAACATGTTATTTTTATGTGTGTCATTTATACTGCTTGGTAATGCTGACGTTTCGAACTGAAGTATTAAGGTTACCGTATACCTTCAGGGGTTTCTCGCGTCCAAGCGATGTAGCGCGTCCGGTTTAAGCTGTAGATACCTAAACCCCTATATCAAATTAAAGCTTATAGAGCTGGCTATCGAACCATACCAAAAATTTTGAAATAAAATGAATTGCCGATTTTTTCGCGGCCACTAAATGCAAGCGTCCTTATCACCTTTTGGAAGCTACAAGTCAAAGCGAATTTTGTTTTTCGCCAATTTATTTTTTCCCTCGGTTTCTGGACAAAAAGCGTTAAAAAAGTGTGTCTGCGTTTTTCCTTATTCAATTGCAGTAAAAAGTTACAGAACATTTTCGAAATAGGATTTTAAAAATGTAAAGTGATCGTACAAAAAACGTTCTCGGAGAAACAATATTTCGAAATAAACAATTCGCAGACACGTTTTTGTTCTTTATATGTTAATCTAGCTACTGTCCAAATTAAAGGGCAAACAAACAAATTCCCTTTGAGTTGTAACTCTTTAAAGTGTCTGCTTCAAGCGGAAAAATTTATTCGAGAAAACAGCGCTAAG